ATAAGGAATATCTTAGTGAGGCCTTGTCCTATGGCTTTAGCACATGCAGGGATGTGTATGACCATAATCTATATTTTAGGCATCTGTGAAACAAAAGATATCCAAAATTCTTTATTCCAAAAGCAAAAATCTTATATAAAAAAGTATTTCTGTCATCAACTGAATGAGACCCCAGAGTCAGTAAAAATGTACTGATGAGGCTGACTGTTGGCCAAGGTATCATATGTTAAGATAGCTGACTAATGTTCAGCCAGTTTTGCTGACTCTTGGGTTCCATTCTCAATCTAGAACATGTGGTTAAATGATGAAAAGCAGCAACTCTCCAGCAAGCTCTATCTCATGTAATGGTGGTTCTTCATCCTTCTTAAATAATATCTCTTCAATGCACACTCAGTTGATATCAAGGAGCTCCTCAAGAGGTAAAGGGAACAGAAGAGGGGTGACCTCCTCTAACACTGTGGCTACTTGGCAAGGGAATGAGGACAAGGAAATACCCTTCTCCTCTTACCCTCTTCCCTGCTCTTGAAGGTAGGATAAGCCAAAAGGCCCATTTTGGCTCCATCTTGTAGTAAGGAGACTTCAGTGGTTATGCTGAGCTAATAGGGTACTCTTTCCATGACCCAAGGCATAATGGGCAGCTTGGTACGGAGGGTCATAGGCTCAGGTCCTGAAAAGCCTCTGTTTTCAGGAGACCTCACTGTACAGCCTGCAATTGCCACTTTAATAGATACGATGTAGTGCCATCAAGGGCACTTTCTTGTACCAGAAGCCTATGGGGAACTTATGGCCATCATGAGTGATCCAGGGACTCCAGGGGGAATAAAGCCCCGAGAGTGAAGGAGTCTTTGGGGTACACTAATGGAAGTGCCTGTTATATAGCAATTTGGAAAAATTCTCGAGTCTTCTGTTGTAGGAGGTTCCATTCATAGTGAACTCATTTGTGTGTAACAGTAAGATTTGTAAATGAAGAATATGTTGTCTCCAGAACCCAAAGCCTGGGCTTTGTTTTAACATCATGGGTGCTAAGAGGGTCCATAACTATTTCTTGACAGTGGCAGAGATGGTGCAGCTCTCAGTTTATCAAAAAATTTCTAGGAGTTTATGTAAACTGGTGGGGCGTTGTACTAAGTGTGGGACAATGGCCCATTTTATTTTCATGAGTCTTTTGGTGAGTATTCGTATGTTCTGAATGAGTGTATCAAATGAATCTCCTTAAAGAAGGATGTCATCAATGTGATGGCATACCTGTGCTCCTGGAGAAAGCTGGCTTACAGTTAAGATTGTACCTGCAAAGACTACGTCTGATCACAGGGATGTTGAGGTAGCCCATGAGTAACCAGATAAGATGCACTATTGTGTCCCTTAGAAGATGAAAGTAAACTGCATCTGAGAGGGTATTGAAATAGACACTGAACGTATTAGCCAAATCTATGACTGCAGAGTATTTACAAGTTGCTGGTTGGATGGAGTCAGTAATTTTAATAATATTGGGTGTGGAGCCTTAATTGGAGTGACTATAGCATTAACGTTATAGTAATCCACTCTGAGGTGCCATTCGTTCTTTCCAGGTTTAATAACAGGGCTGCTAATTGAAGCAGTGGAAATAATCACGCCTTCTCTAAATAGGTCTTATATAATGGGCTTCAGTGCTTGAATGCCCTATTTAAATTTATATTGGGCTGTATGAAACATTTTATCTTGGGGAAAGGTCCATAGGGTCTCATTTTATCAAGCCAATTGTAAGTGTCAAAGACTTAATTTAATTTTAATTTATTGCTCATTGAGTCAGAGCAGCCATGACCACTATGGATATTGTAGAAAATTGGGCACTATGACCACAGGGAATTCAGGCAAGGCAGTAGTTCCAGTGGCTAAGGCCAGGCATACTTGTTTATCCTCTATTTTATGTTCAGTGACTCCCATAACATGGTGGGGGGGTACCTTGTTAAATTTAGTGGGATCTGGAATGTCTGTATTTCAATCCCCATAATGATCAAGGCCACAAAGGTTAGCTAATTGGTGAATTTCAGCAGATATTAAAGTTAATTTAGGATCTATGTTGTAGAGCCAAAATGTCAATCAGTACCCTTTTACCTTTTTGCTGCACAAATCCTTTTAGTGAATTTTGGATTTTCCTTTGGGTCAAATTTTGGACCTCTGTTTTGTTTGTTTGCTTGTTTGTTTGCTTGTTTTGTTTTGTTTTGTTTTGTTTCCTCCCCCTAGATTCAGGTGTTTGTTTTTTTGTCTTTTTTGATGGTTTCAGCAGGGCAGGGTGTCCTCTCTACTCTGCTCATATTTGTGTTTCTCCTTTTAGAGAGCCTCAAATCAGTATTGTTAGGGTTAGGGACTTGGCCAATGTTAAGTCAGTGGTTGTCCCAGAGGGATGCTGTGGCTGTGTTCCCTATAGCCCTGAGGATCTGAATCTTTGTTGGGACAGAAGTGTAGTTAGCAGCAGCAATAACGGCATTCTGTAGAAGCCTGGTGAGCCGTTTACTTTTAGTAGTCTGACCTCAGTATGCTACATCGTAATTTCTCTTCCTCCACGTGAGCCATCATCCAATGGACCCACGCATTGCACAGGGTATGAGTGTTTCCCCTGAACACGCTATAGAATGGGATTATTGCCTGCTTGAGACACACACTCAATGGCCACAGGAAACGTTGTTCCCCTGACCCTAGTGTCAGTCATGGCTAATACTGGAATCAGGACTCATACTTCAATCTGAAACACACGGGTCCAGGTTGAGATATACTACCCAAGTCATTTTAAGGAGGACCCCAATCCTATGGTCCTGTCTCTAAACATTATCAAAAACTTCCAACATAGGTTAATGTAATGAACTAAAAGTTTGTGTCTCCCCAAAAGTCATGTGTTAAAAACCCAACTCCCATTATGACTGTATTTGGAAAAAGGATATTGGTAGAAGGTAATTAAGGTTAAATGAAGTTATAAAGGTGGAGCCCTGATCCAATAGGATTAGTGTCCATTTTAAAAAAAGATACTAGTGAGCTCACTTTTTCTCTCTCTCCACCAGGTGAGGGCACAGTGAGAAGGTAGCCATCTGCATTCCAGGAAGAGTCCTCATCAGGAACCAAGTTGGCTGGCACCTTGATCTTGGACGTCTCAGCCTCCAGAACTGTGAGAAATACGTTTCTGTTGTTTAAGCCACCCAGTGTATGGTATTTGGTTATGGCAGCCTGTTCTAACTGAGACAGTTGGTTAAATCTAAACAGAGGTTTGGTAGGATTTGTAAGCGCAGCACAAACCAGCACAGCCTAAGGCTCCAGCTTGCCAGCAGGCAACAGCACACTTCAAAGACCATTCTAGCCAGTAGGCAGCAGAGCACGTTAGCAAGACAAAGACAAGAAAGATCCCTGGAGGTGATGGTCATTATCCAGGCTTGCTGCCTGCTCTGCCAATTGTGGTTATCCTCTACAAACCGTATGAACCCTCACCCCAAATTTAATTCAGATTTTGAGACTGATGATGACACAGGTGCTTCAAGAAGATGTGAATAAGTTTATTACTCACATAATAAGGTTTTCGTAAGAGAGTAGGGTAGGCTCCCAAGGTGATCTAAAAACGCCTTGAAAGAGCAGAGAAAAAAGACCGATTAGGCTTCTACCGAGAATAAGGGCCAGAACTGCATAGCTTGAACTTCTTGTGGATGCCAAAGGAGAGAGCACCTGGACTTTCCTATCAGCTCGTAGGGATGTGGGACTTGAAAGCTGTCAGCAGCCAAGCATCGGAAGTGAAGTCAGACTCCTTATTACAGACGTTTGGCAATCTAATTCTTACTTCTTTAGCTTTTTTTCCCCCCTTCTCTCCAAGTTTGAGTTTGTTTTTATTTTTCTTGTGTGGGATTCATAGAGCTTCTCAGATCTGTGTATTTGATACTTCATCAGTTCAGGAACATCTCAGCCATTATCTCTTCCACTATTGCTGCTGCCTCATTCTCTCCTCTCATTCTGAAACTCAGAATTGTTACGTATTGGACTCTTTATGTGTTCTAACCTCTCATTTGCATTTTCAATCGTGTTATCCATGCGTTGCCCAAACTGCCTTATGATCACTATTTAAACTCAGTTATATCTACTTTGATTTTTTAATTTTAACAAGTATAATTTCCATTTGTAGAAATTTTAATTATTACTTTTAATCTAATTAGTCACATTGTTAAGTTTTCATTGTCAACCTTTGCATTTCAGTTCCTTCCATTTATTCAGATAATTATAGTATCAGAACTCTTTCTGGGTATTTTGCTGTGTGACTTTGCCATCTGTCCTCACTCATGGTACTTTGTTTTCCTTTCACATTTGATTGTGAAGTTATATTTTTCAGAAGTTTATCTGTAAAAACCCTTTGAGTTTTAGGCGGGAGATGGGTTCCTCTAGAGTGCACTACAATTTGCTCCTTCCAGGAACCCGAGGCATCAAGCTAGGGTTACGACATTAAATTTGTCACATAAAGTTTTTTGGACCACCCATGGTGTATGCGTTTTTTTTTTTTTTCATTCCAAATCCACTTTGAGGAAATGTTGTGGGGTTAGGAATTCTTGGGGAAGATATTTACCCCTCTCTACTATCAGAATTCAAGACAAGAACTTTCCGTGTAGTATTCTTGAGGAAGGATTGATTATTTTAAATTCACTCCTATCAGGGCATTGCAGACCCACAGGCTTTGTTTACCGTTTTCAAGGTCCCTTGTGACCTTAAGGATCAGAGTTCAAGTTCACCTCATTCATTAAATGAGCTCAAGACAGAAGTCAAATAAAATGCTTAGTAACTTATCTTGGTTCCTTCCCTTAATTTTTGGTCTGATTACACTTAATGTTCTTTTAAGTTTTTCAATGCATGTAAGTGAATTTATTGTTGATGCAGATGTTTGGTTGTTTTCGGTGGAATCATCAGTCACTATGCTTAGGTTACTTTTTATTTTTTATGCCTTATTATTATTATTTGCTGTTTTCAGAAACAACAACAAGAAGCCTTTCTGAGTAAATGAGGTTTTTAAAACCCCGACTGTGTTAATTGGGGCCTTCCTTTTGTTTAGAAACTATTTCTTAGAAGGCAAAAGATGATTTTAAGTATCTGGAAAAATGATTCTTATAAAATGCACGTATGGTAATTGGTTTTGCTATTTTTAAAAATCCGGTCTATAACAGTTGATTTTAGACAGTCTCCTGAATTTTATTAAAAAGTGACAATTATTTCTTTAAAAATGAAATACTCTTCACCTGCAGTATTTATTTATGGAATTGTTTTTGTTTGAGGGATAAATAGGTAACAGGATTTTTTTCTTATCACAGAAGTGATGCAGAAAACTGGAAGTTTAATCTCATAGACTCTACGTACATGTAAAAAGATATCTCATGTGTGGTAAGCTATTATACTGAGAGAAAGCAATGATTATGCGCCTTCCCCCTCCCATTTATGTCTTTTGTAATACCTTCACACAGTGATGCTGGGCATGGTCATATAGAAGTTTTGATCAATGAGACATTTGCAAAAGTGATAGAACCAGAGGTTTGACACATACTCCCACTATGAGGCTTACCCGCTTAGAATTCTCCCTCCTGGAACTCAGGGCCATTTTATAAGTTAGTCCTAGCTCTCCTGCTAGAGGTCTCATGGAGAGGCCCTGGAGGATACCACGTCACATGAAGAGCTGGCTATGAGACTGAGTTGACTGAAGCAGGCAAGTGTAAGGACCAAATAAGTAATAAGAGAAGCATTCTCGGCCCTTCCAGCCCAGCCTGTCTAGATGAACACAACCTCAGAGTGACCCCAGTGGACCCATATGGAGCAGAAAAAGGGCCCAGTCAAGTTCAGAAACATGAAAAACAATACATCCCTGTAGTTTTAAGCCAAAAAGTGCTGGGATGGTTTATTGTTCCAGCAACAGTAGATAAAAAAACAACATGTAAGATGTTAAATTCAGATCTGGGTACTGGGAAATTTTGCTTTCTCATGTAAAAGTGTTACACTAAAAGCCAAAAGGAATATGCATTTCCTGCATTCGTAGCGTGCTCTTCATTTCCAGAGTACTTCAGAAACGTTTCTAAGGAACAAATTTGAGATCTTTCTCATCTCTCTTTCACTGAGATATCTTATTTATAATGAAATCATCTGGCAGAACTCAAATAATTCTGTTATTATTTTGATCCATTTTAAGTGAAATGTTATACAAATGTTTGCTTTAACTGCTAAGAGGTTTTACAGGATTTAAAGTCTACATTGATTAATATTTCCATGAAATTTTGACCTTATGTGCTCTTAAAAATATCTCTGTTCTCAAAAGCTGTAATTCTGTTGAATGGTTTTTCAAATGCTTGAGGAGTCGTACTGTGTAATATTGGCTATACTTCACAGTGTGCAACATTATATTGCATGTGTGTTTTACTATTGAGTGATTTTATTTTGTAGTCTTGCTAGTACTGTCATATAATTAAACTGTAAACCCATGTGGTGTAAAGGTCAGACACATTAACTGTACAAAAGTAAATTCTATACGTTTTTAAGGTTCTATTCTTTATACACTGAAATCAGCATAAGGAATGAAAAAAACTATGTGTGTTACAATTGAAATTTCTAGTCTTTTGAACAAGGTTTTGCAGCATCCTATTATAAAAAAATCTTACAGAAATTCTTTTAAAACATGCCTCCATTCTCTTGGAATACTTGTCGAGAACACATTCCTATCAGGTATTTTCAACCTGGTTCTGAATAAGACTGATCACTGTAGTTGTTGGCTGCTTTTTGTCCTCTTAACAATTCCTCTTGTAAATACATATTGATTTTTGCTTTGTGCTGGCTTTTACAGTAGAAATATGCTATAACTTTCTTTTTGATGACCAGAAATTTGGAAGATCGTAGCTGACCTATTCGTTGTAATATCAGGTTTTTGTTAAGCGGACACAATAATTTCAAACTGTTTCTAAAAGTGTATCTTTAAAGTTCAGGAGAACACGTTTGCATATACTAACTATATTTATTCCGTTTTAGCCTTAGCCATGTAGATTTAAGAGAAATCAAAGCTTATTCAATCTTAAGCAGTACTATTATTTGATAGACCACTGTGATATTAATATAAATAATTAGTAAAAAAATTCTAGTTATCCTTTGAGAACATTCTGAATTATATTGAAATGGGACAGGTGCTAATATAAGAAGACAATTAAATCACTCATAACATATTACCTTTCAACAATATAGAAGAGTATTTAGAAGTTATTTATTCATTTATTTTAAATGTGACAATTACTTTAGAGTAGATATATATCTTAAAGCTTAATTTATATCTTCTACCATAGGCCTTCCTAACTAATGAGTCCATGAAGAGGCTTCCTGATGTTAAATTCGATATGTATATCAATATGTGTATTCATCTGGGGAGAATGTCCAAAGCTTTCATCAGATTCTCAGATTCATAATTGCAAAAATGTTATGAACATGATTATCTATCTCAAGCTTTCCAATCTAGATATGGGTATTTTCTCTGATGAAGAATATGTAATTTCTTTAAATTCTCAGAGTAAGCTTAAATATATTTCCAATGTATTTTTCCCACCATTCCTAGTTCTTTTCCTGAGAAAAAAATTACTAAGAAAAAAATCAAATTACAACATTCCAGTCCTTCAAATAACTGAAAATAGCTATTTTGATTATTCTCATTCATAAATAGAGAATTTTGCTTTTTGTAATTTGTGAATGATAAAAACAGAGTTGCATAAAGTTTTTCATAACTTTATTTCAAATCATACTACAAAGCTACAGGAATCAAAGCAGTATAATGCTGGCACAAAAACAGACACATAGATGAATGGAACAGAATAGAGAGCCCAAAATGAACCCACAGTTACATGGTCAGTTAATCTACACCAAAGGAGGCAAGAATATAAAATAAGGAAAAGACAGCCTCTTAATAAATGGTGATGGGAAAAGTGGACAGCTACACGCAGAAGAATAAAACTAATCTACTTTCCCACATTGTATGCAAAAATAAACTCAAAATGGATTAAAGACTTAAATGTAAGACCTGAAACCATAAGACTTCTAAAAGAAAACAGACTGTACACTCTTTGACATTGGTCTTAGCAATATGCATTTGGAAATGTCTCCTCAGGCAAGGGACTGACG